TTTACTTTGGAAACGTGCTCTATAGGCCCAGGAATAGCATAGGCCTACGCCAAACTGGCCTATCAGATTTTAATAGAAAGTCTACCCGAAGACTTACTGAAAATTTAAAAAAAATCCTCTAATAGGCCTACGTCGTAAAACACTGTAATATCATGTTCATTTTCTCTATTTCCAATGGCGGGATTTACGATTGGGAAAAACGGGGCTGAAATGCTGTTATTGATACCTCATCCATAAGGAAATCGTCACCCGGTAATTGTTATCTATTTTAACAGATTTTACGGTAAGCAGCCTTCGAAATATTATTGAAAAGGAAACGTTCAGGGCAATTTAATTCGTGTTGAGAAAGACGAGTACATCCTGGATACACCGCAGGTTTGTACCGTGTGTCGCTGATCATGCGCTGACAAAGTAAAATATTTAGATGTCTCTAGTGCAAAAGCATCAAAAGAACCAACGAAAATCCAAAGCCTCGGTATTGTACGGTCTTAATTCCAGGTGGGGGGGGGGGGTCTCAAGGGATGGTGGATAGGGAAGTTCAAAAGAATAGTACATCCTTTATAAACGTAGGCCTACACATAGACATACACACGGACCAAACGACAGTGTGTCAGAGTAGGGGCGCTGGCGCTCAGCGCGTCGGATAAATACGGTACCATGGTGAGAGATATTTTAAAAAATATATAAAAAGCAATATTTAAACAATTATAAACTTTAAAATATGTTAAAGATTTTTTATTCTATTTTCTTAAAATTTGTACAAATATAAAATACATTAAATATTGGCCTGAAATACCACTGTGAGAGATGTATTAAAACTACATACCGGTACGGTATCAAATGGCATTCTTTTTTCTTTTTTTTGTACAGATATAAAATAAGGTACCGGTAATACATAAAACACGATTGTGGGAGATGTGCGTGAAATCAGGCATTTCTAAGATATTAATGTTCTTTTAAATTGCGTTATTGGCATATGAAGATTATTTTGGTCATCGTTTAGATTATTCCACAGAAGGACAATTATATGATACTACGTCGTCTTTAGTAGGCCGATATCGTTTTTTGGTGTATCAATCTGAATTAACATGGCGAAATTTAGAATGAAAATTTCAGTATTGTACTAAGTTCTCTTAAGTATTTTGGTGCATTTTCCCGTATAATTTTGAACATGAGTATAGAAAACATCCTACTTTATTTATTTATTTTATTTTTTTGTATATCCAATGTGCTAAATTTAAGTCAGAAAAGGCATATCATCAGTTTGTATACGTCTCTGCCTTTAGGGTTTATATGTTTGTATGCATTCTGTTGTATCCATTGCTTTTTGCGTAATCAAACACTGCATGCCAAATACAGCACTGTCTTTCTTTTCTGGTGACGTAGGCCTGTTTTGTAAAAGCAATTGATATCAACTTTGGAATAGCTCCCATTAATAAGGCTAACAGTGAATTTGTAGCATGCGTGAATTCATTCGTCGCAATGATAGGTACTGATAGTCAATAGAAAAAATAACCCAACACCCAAGTTCCACAACACAATCTTCGCCACTTTAACTATCCTCTTCTCACATAATTATGTCGATAACGTGAAATAATTCATCTGGTAAACTAGGAATCAATTCTGTGTAGGTCAACAGTGGTTTTCTTAAATGAGAATATTCTGTCATCCTACAAACATTCTCTGAGCGAAAATTGTGATCGTCAATGTGACTTTCAACACAATGGTGGCAGCTTGCCACGACTCTCCAGCTTCAACTGTGGTGTACCAAATTTTTTCGTAACGGTTGTAGTACTCATTGAAACTTCCCAGGGTGTACAAGCCGCAAGCTAATAATGCAATCACTATCAACACCACATTGTCGTTCTCATCATAACCAGTAGCGATACCTATATTTGTCAGGATAATCATTTGCGTAGGGATAATCGTAATAACCATCAGTTGTAAACAACAAAAAAACAAAGATGGTAAACAAAACGGCGCGTATTAGATTCCTCGGAAACATCCTACTTTATTTATTTATTTTATTGTATATCCAATGTGCTAAATTTAAGTCAGAAAAGGCAGTTAGTGAAAAGGTAAAAATGTAAAAACTCTCCCTCCTGAGATTGATATGATGATCGAATTACTAGCCAATAGGAAATTGTAAACGCGTACGTGTGATTGGTTGATGATAGAATCGTGCTCACTTGCTAACCGATAGCGCTTGCTAACCGTTAGCGGTATACCGCTAACGGTTAGCGCTAACCGGTCGGGCGTTCTCACACAGGTGCCAACGGTTAGCGCTAACGGTTAGCTCCCGATCCGGATACTAGTCTTAAGGCTAAAGCCCGTTCAATCCACACAACGAACGACTTCCCCATGTATTCGCATGCGCAGTACAGTTTCACGCTCCACTGCCCGTCGTAGAACGCCGCGTCGTCCAAATCAAAAGCTGCTCAATAATTACGTCAAAACGCGCACAAGACTGCGTAGATTTTCTAATTGCAGAATTGTTTTTTTGAGCTGCTTATTTTAATAGTAAAAATGAACCGGCCTTCAACTTTAATGTCTTGTACGAGAAAGAATAGAATTAGCCAGAGACGGGTGCCACCAAGGAAATAATTTCTGAAAGTTTTATAGCCTTTGCCTGTTACTTGATACGCACGCTGTGAATGAAGCATTATCGAGGGGAAATGTTTGAATTGGCCTGCTGTGCCCATTACTCAAAATAAACAATTAATTTACCAGACGAATATTGGAGTTTTCCTGTAATTAGTTCATAATGTCACATATAAATGTGATATTAGACCATAGGCAAGGCTGTATAAGTGCCAATGTTTATGTATAGCTAGCTAGATCATAATAATGCCAAAATTTAAAAAAGAAAATGTCCGTTTTTTCTTTTGGCAGTGGATATTAGCCGCTGATTCGCAAATTCGTGTAGGCCTCGTTTCTATTAAATCACTACATTTCCGATTCTTTTTCATATGGAACGCCAAAAGGGCAACCTTGAACACTTCAACGATTATACAAACAGTACCAACGAATACACAGGCACTCCAATGAATGTACAAGCACTCCAATGAGTATTTAAACACTCCAACGAATATAGAAACACTCCAACGAATATAGAAACACTCCAACGAATGTACAAGCACTAACGAATATAGAAACACTCCAACGAATGTACAAGCACTAACGAATATAGAAACACTCCAGGTGCAAGATTGAGGAAAACTCGAAAATTTGCGGAATACTATACTGTATCCAAGTAAAACCGTACCGGGTCTGAATATTGTGAATTATAAATTTCCGACTGTAACGTTAACCATGTCCCTGCTATAAAGTTTTAGCACAAGTCCTTGGTAATATAGTGGAGTACAGGAAGATATGTATTTATAAAAGTTGGAAGGCATCACAGTCTCACAAATACAAATAGATTTAAATATAAAATAAAAATCAATAGTGTTACTTTATAGATATTTTGTTCAACAAAAGAAATTCAATTATATCTCTTACCATTGCATTCTGTACTGGTAATAATTTCAACGAAACAAAGTGTAATTTGTTTAACATTGCACTGTCATAATTCTGGTAATAACATATTCTTATTATTATTACGCATTCATTGCTTCTATATACATTAGATTGTTTCTATATTCGATGAAGTGTTTCTATATTCATTGGAGTGTTTGCATAATCATTGGAGTGCTTGTACATTCATTGGAGTGTTTCTATATTCGTTGGAGTGCTTGTACATTCGTTGGAGTGCTTGTACATTCATTGGAGTGTTTCTATATTCGTTGGAGTGCTTGTACATTCGTTGGAGTG